CGCGCCCCGCTGCGTCTCCTCCGCTCCCGGCCCTGGGCACCGGGGCGCGGGGACTTCTCTGGAAGCCCAGGGCTGGAGGACTAGGTCCCAAGTACTCTGCTCCCCTCCCTGGGAGGATCGGGTCTTGGGGCACAGCCCTCGGCCCCCGAAACTCGGGTGATCCTGTCTTGCTCCAACTTCATGCCCGGGAAAGCTGGGGACCCCATGGAAAAATGTCGCTCTACGGGGCTTAGCCTTCATTCACTTTGGGTGCCTGGACGTGCATCCCTCCTCTCTTGGAGGTCAGCGCCATCTCCCCGCTGGCCTGGCCCTCAAAGGCCACACTGCTGACCTACCCTTTTCTGGGAGACCCCATGTGTCCTGGCAGCCCCCAGAGTCTGAGCTGAGGAGAGAGGGTCCTGCGACTTAGACACCAGGCTGTGCACGGGGCCAGCGCTTCTGGCAAGAGGCTCTGATTTCTGCTTCTGAGTTGGGTGTGATGGGGGTTACCTGGGCAGGGAGGGTTCCTGCAGAGCTGGGGCTCCTTAGTGTGTTCCCCGCTCAGGGTAGGAGAGCTGGGACCTCATCTCTCCTAATGGGATGTTAAGGGAATGGGGGATGTTAAAGTGGGGTAGGGGGCGGTGGTCGTGCTAGCGGATGCCCACTCCATTTTCAGGCCTCTGTAAACCATAAGGGCTGTTCTTTTTGGTTGGGTCATATGGACTGGAAGGGAGGGGAGAGGGACAGGCTTCTTCAGGTCCCCAGCTAGAGCGCGTTCCCTGGTGTGCCCCACAATATGATTGAGCTCCCAGGCTGCAGAGAAGATGCCCTTCCTGCCCTTCCCAATGACCCTGGATCAGAGGCACCTGATGAGACTACTCCCACTACTGCTGGAGTTACACCTGGAAAAGAAAGCCAGTGGGGTGCCAGGGGCAGGGGGCAGGGCAGAGGTCTTCCTCCCCACCCCTCCTGCCCCAGGAAGATGACCCCATTCCCCCGCCTGCAAACCCACTGTCTGCTTGGCACTTTATGTGGTACTCCAGACCTGTGTTTTATCTCCATTTGGAGGAAGAAGAAATCGCAGCTTAGAGAGGTTAAGTGAGACTCAAATCATTCATCTTGTAAGTGGCAGGGCCAATAGCCTGATTCCACAGTCCCCGAGGAGGGAGGCCAGCGGGGGAGAGGGAGCAGGACCCTCCTCCAACCACTCGGGGGGGCTCCAGGACTTGAATCTGTGCCCAGGTCCCCTTGCCCATCTGGGACCACCCAGCCCCGTAGGAGGGCTGCTGGGAGAGTCACGGTGCTCATCCTCTCTACTGTTTTCCCCTTTCCCCCGCCATAGGAAGAAAACCATCTACAAGAGTGTGTGCCTGTCGTTGGCCCTGCTCGTGGCCGTCACAGTGTTCCAGCGCAGTCTTACTCCCAGTCAGTTTCTGCAGGAGCCCCTGCCACCCACCCTGGGGGCACAGAAGGCCCAGAAACCGAATGGACACCTGGTGAACCCCAACAGCTTCTGGAAGAACCCAAAAGATGTGGTTATCTCCAGTCCTGTGGCTTGTCAGGGGCCCCAGTCCTGGGATGTGACTACCAATAACTGCTCAGCCAATCCCAACGTGACCCACCAGTCCTGGTTCCGGGGTCTGGAGCCGCACTTCCAGCAGTTTCTGACCTATAGACACTGCCGATACTTCCCCATACTGCTGAACCACCCAGAGAAGTGCAGGGGCGATGTCTACCTGCTGGTGGTCATCAAGTCAGTCATCACGCAGCATGACCGCCGCGAGGCCATCCGCCGGACCTGGGGCCACCAGCAGGAGTCTGCGGGCAGGGGCCGAGGCGCCGTACGTACTCTCTTCCTGTTGGGCACGGCCTCCAAGCAGGAGGAGCGTACCCACTACCAGCAGCTGCTGGCCTACGAGGACCGGCTCTACGGCGACATCCTGCAGTGGGACTTTCTCGACACCTTCTTCAACCTGACCCTCAAGGAAATCCACTTCCTCAAGTGGTTTGACATCTACTGCCCCAATGTCCCCTTCATCTTCAAAGGTGACGATGACGTCTTTGTCAACCCAACCAACATGCTCGAATTTCTGGCTGACCGGCAGCCACAGGAATACCTGTTCGTGGGCGACGTCCTGCAGAGCGCTCGGCCCATCCGCAAGAAGGAGAACAAGTACTACATCCCCGGGGTCCTGTACAGCAAGGCCAGCTACCCGCCCTACGCAGGCGGGGGTGGCTTCCTCATGACCGGCAGCCTGGCCCGGCGCCTGCACCACGCCTGTGACACCGTGGAGCTCTTCCCCATCGACGATGTGTTCCTGGGCATGTGCCTGGAGGTGCTGGGTGTGCAGCCCATGGGCCACGAGGGCTTCAAGACTTTTGGCATCTCTCGGAACCACAACAGCCGCCTGAATAAGGAGCCCTGCTTCTTCCGCTCCGTGATCGTCGTGCACAAGTTCATGCCCGCAGAGCTGCTGGCCATGTGGGGGCTGGTGCACGGCAACCTCACCTGCTCTCTCAAGCTCCAGGTGCTCTGACCCAGCCAGGCCACCAGGATAGGCCAGGGCGTGTGCTCTTGAGCCCCCAGAGTATGGGGACCGGAGCTGCAGTGCCCAGGGATAACCTTTGGTCCCCTGCAGGGAGGTGGTGGGGTTTGGGTCTGTGTGTCACTGGGTGCAGTGGGGTGCAGATTATTCACAGAAAGTGAGGCCCAGCAATGACTGCAGCTGCCCAGACTGGAGGCCCTCTGAGGAATGGTGACACTGGCGCTGGCAGCCCTCCTGCCCTGGGTCCATGGCCTGGCTTCCTCTGACCTGGTAGGAGGCCCTGGTGGCCTCTGAAGGAACCCTGTGCTCAGGTGCCTGGGCTAGGCCTGGCCCCAGTGGCTCTGTGGCTGCCCTCTTGTCCTTGCAGGGAAGAGTCTCCTTCTATGAAATGCCTCAGTCTCCCCAAGGGGCCAACTAGCCCTTTCAGGAGCTCAACCCTGTGCTGGCTCACAGGTGCCCCGCAGCCCATACCCTGGTCTCCTGGAAGAGGGGGCGTCGGCGGGTTCTCAGCACCCCTGGGCCTGCTTGGAGGCGACTGCTTAGTCTCTGCTCCCGGGGACTTTACTCCTGGCTGTGTCCTCTAGTGTCTGGCAACGACCGGCCGCTCAGACTACCTCAGTGCTCCTCAGAACCTTTGCGGGGACTGCAGTCCCGCCCCACACCCTGACCCAGGGCAAGAGAGCAGCGCTCCTGCCCCCAGCGCCAGCCGAGTCCCTCCCGCAGCCCCACGAGGCCCGGCTCCCTGGCTGGAAAGTGGCCGGTTTGGCCCTGGAGTGGACACTTGTTACTGTGAAGTTTTATTTATGAAGAATTTGGCGGGAGAAGGCTGCGGGCCTCAGGAGGTGGTGGCGTTCTCCCTGACCCTCCCTCCCTCCCAGCATTCCAGCAAGTCCTACCCCCGCCACTCTTACCCCGTGCCCTCCACACCCCCTCTAGAGCCTGCCCTACCCGCCCCCCTTCTCCAGGGCCTGAGCAGACCCACATCTGCCCCCATGAAGGGTGGACCAGGGGCCGTGGGGCAGCTGCAGAAGGACGCACCGCCTACCTCAGGGTGGAGTCACCTGGTAAAGATGGAGGGATTGACTATTTTCTCAATAAAACAGGACTGGTTTTTTTCTGGTGTGAAACTTCCTCTTGCCAGATCCATCAGAGGGCCTGTCTGGGGCCGAGGTTGCTGGGGATTTCTGAAGACACAGTTTGTTCCTTGTTCTTGGCTGGTGCGTGTACAAGGACCCTTTGAAGATCCTTAGAGGGAAGTGCGCACTGGGCACCCAGCTGCACCTGTGTCCCTGTGGACAGCTGACACTCGGCCCACATGTGGGCCACTGCCTTCCTGCCAAGGGCAAGGCCAGAGCTGGCCCGAGGCAGCTGTTTGGGTGGGATTAGGTGGGGGTGTAGAGGCTGGTGGGCTCCCTGATGTCCCTTCCAATCAACATGGAAGCTTTGAGACAGAGGTGCAGTGGGGTCCAGGGCTGGGGATGGAGGCCTTGGCCTGAGCTGCTTACTCCAGGGTGGGGAGGACCACTGCCCTCAGGAGAAGAGTAACTGAGGTGGTAGTAGTGAGCAAGCCGCAGCTCCCTGATAGGGGCGACCCAGAGGGGACACCATCATGGGTTAAGCTGCCTGGGTCCAAGCTCTCAGGAAGGGGGTGGGCAGTGCTGCTGAGATTCCCCCCTCCCCTGGGCACAGGTCTTTCCGCAGCTCCCTCTCGGTCAGCCGGCTACCTAATTTGCAGAGCCCAGGTTCTAACAAGTTCTTAGGAGTCTTAAGATTGCAGCTGCAGAGCATTAAACCGAGCGCAGGCCCTTCTGCGGGGTCCTGCAACTGTGACGCCAGCTCCCTTCATTCGTCCCTCACCCACAGAACACAGGGCAGGGTTGTGTTTTCCCAGAACTCACAGTCCAGTGAGGGAGAGAGCAGCAGAGGGACACCCAGGAGATGGAGGTGGAAGGGCCACCGGGTGCAGGCCCAGGCGTGTGTTCAGCCACACCTGGAGGATCAGGCACAGGGAAGAGGGACCCGAAGGCTGCAGGCAGGCAGGAGAGCGGGGCTGCTTCCCAGGCCTTCTGGGTTCAGGAGGGTGTTTGGGCTTGATCCTGAGAGCAGAGGGGCCAAGGGACAAGGAGCAAGGGCTCTGGGTGCATGCGGGCAATCAGGGAGCAGAGACAGCAGTTTCCTGTGCTGCATCCTCAGACTCGCTCTTTGGTGCCTCCAGCTGGGCCCGTTCCCACCACGGGTCATGATGACTCTGAGGCTACTGCCTTCTTCAGCCTCTGCCGCTAGGGGTGAGGGCCTTGTTCCCTACACCATTTCAGACCTCTGGGGCTCCTGCCTAGACAGGCAGAGGGGGTGGGATGCCGGCATTAGCATAGCAGAAGGAAGGAAAAGCAGGAAGAAGAAAGGGCAGGAGGAACCCACCTAAGGGGGCCGGTGGTCCAGGCTCCCCTGCAACACAGAGTGGGGAGCAGGCATCAGCCCTGGGCCTGCAGTGCACCTTCATCTTACAGGATGTGGGCGTTTACCTGTGGTGGAAGGGGAAGGGAGGGATGGTCCAGGACAGGGATATGTGCAACAGACCAAAAGTGCAAAAAACCAGGGCACTGGGAGGAGTAGCTACCTGACGGGGAGGGCATGTTGCATATTAGAGGGGTTGGGGGCATCCTGGTGGGAAAGGAGCACATTGCTAAGAGTTAGGGTGCTTTCTGCAGGCATTGAAGGGCCATCACAGCTTCCAGAGCAGGGAAGAAACTAGATCAGATGGGAACCTTAGAAACACGTCCTTACCCCCAGTCCCCCATCTAGGGCATGGAGAAGCAGCCAGTCCCAGTCTGGGAACATGGCCCCAAGGCCTCCCCATCACTGTCCCCCAGCTCTGCTGTCCCCTTATCAGGAGAGGGTTCCACAAAAAAGAGGGTGGGACCTGTGAGGAAAATTGCCAGGGCACTAGCTACCCAGAGCCAGCCTATCTAGAAGAATGTCCAGCTGACAGCAGCCCTCAGCCAGCTCCTGGCCTGGCTTAGGCCCTTCTACTCTGCTGTCCCTGTTTTCCTAGTCTGCCTAGGAGTGCGACCCAAGTCCCCAGCCACCTTATTCCTGGCTGCCTCAACACAGCCCTGGCCTTTCTGGGGTTCACTGCTGATCGCTTTAAGAAACAGACACAAAGGTCAGCATGGAAGATTGAGGCATTTGCAGCCTTGCTTCCTGGTAATAATGATAACACTTTTGCCATTTTATGGGGCACATTTGATGTGCCCAGCACTGTGGTAAGCACCTAACTGGCATAATCAATATGACTAACTCAGGGTACAAATATGGTTACATTTTAATTTTTCTCATTGATTGCTTGAATCCCTGGTGTACCATTATTGGCAGAAAATCCAACATCACCTTCTTGGAGCCCACTGCTCCCAAATTGTCCAAGAACCTCAGGGGTTTCCTTAGTCAAAGAGAGTTCTCTGGAAAGGCTGGGCAGTCATCTCCAGTCATTCTCTCTTTCTCCACACAGTGGCGCTGTGGAACACCGGGCCTACACAGTCCTGTGGCTTCTTAGGTGCTACCTGGCTGCCTGCACTACACAGGCTGCAGTGGAGCCCGTGCTTCCAACTTATCCTTCTCTCAGTCATGCCTCTGAGTTCAGTGATCTTTCCCCAAAGACCAGCAGCATGATAGGGGTTCTGGATCCTTTGGCTCCCAGTCAGCTACACAGTCTGCTGGAGAAACCCCACAAACTCACTCAGGATCTCTGTCCTAGTGAAGTGACTTTCCAGGCCTTCCCTGACAGCAGATTTTAGTCAGTCCCCAACAGGTTTGGGGGTGTGGGAATGGGTCTTAAACCCTACCCTCCTCAAAGGCCCTGGGCTTCATTTGCAAAATGATTTTCCTTCTGCCAAGCAATCAGCTCTGCATTCCAAGGGGCTCAGAAAAGGAGCAGCCTCTGTCAGGCCCCAAATGTCCTGTTTCACCGCTCCCCCAGGGCAATGGGTACCCACTGGGCCATATTTACATAACTAAAGGAAACCACTCAAAGAATCCTACCTTTACAAAGAAAGCCTGTTCTTAGGTGACTTACTCTGCACCTAAGCTGAGACGGAGCAAGGGAAGCTTCTGGAATCCTATTACACACCATGTTCAAAGAAAGAAATGGTGGACTGGCATGATTTGAACTGTGTCCTAAGCCCCGTCCCCTCCTGTCTCCCAAGAGCTTCAAGCTGCCTTTTTGTCCGTAGTCGTAACTTAGTAGGAAATATGTGTTTGTCGTTTTTGTCCAAAAGCCCAGGAAGTAGGAAAATGTTACGTCCAATGAGTGATTGAAATTTTGATAATTTGGGGGTAGGGAAGGGATAGGGTAAGGACAGATGTTAATCAAAGGGTACAAAGTTTCAGTTAGTGATCTATCGCACCACATGGTGACCACAGTTAATAGTAATAATATACTGTAAAATTCTAAATTGCTAAAATAGGTTTTTTATGTTCTCACCACCAAAAAATGAGGTGATGGATCTGGTAATTAGCTTGACTGAATCTTTCTATAACCTATACATATATTGAAACAAGACGTGGTAACCCATAAATATGCAAAACTACTATTTGTCAATTTACAATAAATAAATTTTTAAAAGAAAGAAAATTTGGTATTTTGGTGTTTGGGAGGAGCCCAGCAGTATTAGCACTGTCAAAAACATTTTTTTCCAGATAGTTATTTAAACTACTGTGAAGACAAACTTTACTGTTTCGGTGAAAAGACTGAAACACACACTGTGTGAAGCACAGGCGCCCTGGGTAGTTTTTGAGCTATTTTGCACCTCTTTTCAAGTTGCAGGAACTGATGGCTACACAAACCGGGGGGCGGGGGGGTGTAGTTTGCCTCCGTTTGCAATTCTGTTCCTTCACTCCATCAGA